AATTTCATCCAGTATAGGCATCTCGTGCCTTCTAGCCCTACCACGCCTACCACCTCCTAATAAAGGTAACAAAAGGATTAGCACATTTACAAATGTGCCGAAACTAATTCACTCATGTCCTAATACGACGGACAATAGTATTTCACTCCACATAAGCACATAGTCACAAAACACATACGAATTTCCTTCCTAGATAATGATCGTCCCGCGGCGCTGCTAGAGTTCCAATTAGAAACAGCAGTGATCAAGTGCTCTTCTAATAAGACTTCCAGAAACCCATAAACCCAATCAATATCTTGAGAACTAAATCCCATACCCATATAATCACATAAGCATGTTATTATGTAAGCACATACCGTCCATTAGTCTCTAACAAGCGAGACAAACCCATTGTGGTACTAACCACTCCTCATGTACGCAAAGTATTCAAACCTGGTACGCTCTAATACCAAGTTGTAACGCCCTTAAAATATAACCATAGATATACACCCATAAGCACATATAAGTAACGACATTCATCAAAATATAAAGTTCTTTCATTACATGAAGTTAATATTACAAATAGTTTACACAAATAAATGTCTTTCAGGCTTACACATTTCCAAGCCTTGACTTGGTCACAACAAAAATGGGATTAGCCTTTAAAATTTAAAGCCCTAGGCTATACAACATATAACAAAACAAGAAGCTTTTGCTTCCTGAAGATCCCTCAAATGTTATTGCCTTGGTGAAGGCATGCCATCATTACCTAAAAATGTTTTTCCCAAATAGGGTGAGCCACAGCCCAATAAGAACAATCTAACACAATATATGTGATTTAACAAAGATATAAGTGTGTATGCATATACAATACCCAGGATAAAACATTCATACTATGTATCGCATAGAATGTCATTTCCATATTCCAATTCATTTTTCCTTTAATTCATTCCAATACATAGATCAATTTCCATTATCTTCCAATGATCCAAATGAGACTACAACTCAATGATCTAACAATTTCACAATTAACACATAACACTTCCAATTGCCATTTTACAGATATTTCGTCCGCGGGATCGACACCCATGTATAGATTTCAATCTTGCCATTTTACAGATATTTCGTCCGCGAGATCGGCACCTATGTATAGATTTCGGGACTTTCACCCAAGACACTCTGACCAACTTAATTATAATAGAGTCCATCCCCTTTCTCCTCCTAAACAAAGATACATATGCAATGTATATAAATACATAATCACGCATAGAGTACATCATCTTTCCACTTCCAAATAAACATACGTATACTATGTATTTACAACATGATCATATTCAATGATAATCAACCATGGGATAGTTTTAATTCACCTAATCCACATGCAATTTCTACAACAATCAAAACTATCCTCCACCAATAGCCTAATATAGATTTTTTAAGCAGATATATATATTCTCAAGACAGATAATTTATTCAAAATTTTAGAAGATGAGACACATCATCTATTTCATTTCACCACCCATTTCAATACTTGTCCAATTCCAAGTTTACAACACTAATTTCATTTATTTATACCAAATAAATGGTGCTGTTTGGGAAGTTGGGATTTGGGTTTTGGATTTTATTTTTTTTTACACTAAAAGACAAATTGGTTACAAAACCAAAAAAAATAAATCCAAACAAAATATCATATCAAACACCATAATCATTTCACTTTTTCTCTCACAAACATCACATCCAACCACAAAAAAATCCACCTATCTTCCCAAACACAAAAAAAAATTTCTCCAATAATATCCTACAACTAAAAAAACCTACAAAAAAATTCACTTCCCAAACACTCACAATATAATATTTATTCTAGGGCAAACTCTCACTTTTTGTCAAATCTCAACCAAGTATCAAAATCAACTATTTTGACACCACACAACATCATTTTCAACCCTACCATCATTTCATTCTCATTCACCAAAAAGCCCTTTTTTCATTTTATAACCAAACCCTAGGTTTTGTTCCAAATACCACCAAAACCCACCATTGTTACGCAATCACAAATAACTAATTAAAACTCATAACAAAGTGTAGAACATCCCTACCTCAAAGAGAGAAGACGAGCCAAGTAAGGATGGAACCCCAAAAAAAATGCCGAAATCCAACTTTAATCGTTTCAAAGAGAAAATCTTAAGTAACTCTATCTTTTTAATAAAGGCTCAAGGATGTAGAGATCAAAGGATCTAGGTCAAAATGTACAGAGAAAGTAAGTTTTAGAGAGAGAGGCTCTCAACTTTAGGGTTTTGGGTGAAAAGACATGAAAAAGTGATGTAAAAAATACTTTTCGTGATCTGATGTACGTGTAGTCCGCTTAAGCGGAAGGTTTCACGCTCGAGCGTTAAACACAAAGATTTGTTCTGCTCAAATGTAAGAAGAGACCCGTTCGAGTGCGGAATACACACACCCAGTATATATGCAGACAGTAAACAACTCGTTCTAGTGTAAGAAAGGCCACTCGAGCATAGAAAACACCCTTTTAGTATTTTGCAAACATGCAAAGTACCGAGTATTTGCAAACCCCGCTCGAGCGGAAGACCAAAATTCTGGGCAACAAGGTTTTGGACAAACAAACAACCAACCTGTTCCAAAGGCAACCATAACAACCCAAAGGCCAATTTCAAAGATATACAAGGAAAGAAAGAGGTAAATGACAACATGAAAGCATTAAACCCGAGTCTGAAACACCACAAGAGTCTGGTCAAAACCGAGATTGCTATAGCCTTTGTAAGATATCTCTTGTACTCTTTTCTTTCATAGTGGATTGTTTGCGTAGCCGATGGCCTATGATTTTTTATCACAAGTAGGTGGATTCCAATTGTGATTTTTTTACGTAAAAAATATTTTGTGTTGTGGATGAATTTTCTCTAACTCTCTCTTTTATCTACATTAATCGTGGATGTATAATTTTTAATTTAGATTATCTAAATTGACAATCACTTATCACGGGACAAATCTAGATTTTCAATAAAACTAGATTTTTTCATAGTTTCTTACTTAGAATGGACAACAGAACACCTTGGTGATCTCTGCAAGGGGCGCTACTTTGGATTTGTGGGAGAGTGTGAGGATTTTCCTGTAACCAAAAAAAAAAATGTATTGTTACTGTTTGGAAAAAGAAAGGAGAAGAGAGAGAGAAAAAGAGTGTTTGTTTTAGACAGACAGGAAAAAGAGAAGAGAAGAGAGCGTGAGTTTGAGGAGATAGAGGAGAGTGTGTGAGCCATTTTTTCATTTGAAGGGTGCAATTCGGGCATATTTAGACTCAGAATTTTGTGTAAATCAAACATTATCCTTACTTATTTTAGTAAAAAAGTCAACACCCAAACGGGACTTAAAAAATAGCAAGGTAAGACCATAACCAATGTTGTACCTTTTGTTTAATCAAATTCAAATTTGATGAAAAGAGAAGCATTTTGTTGCTCCAACCTTTTCACCAAAGAAATATCAAATATAAGATATCTTAAATCTTTCATTAAACTAAGGATGACTTATGGCTTTTATCAATTCATTATTTATAGTCGTTGGAGTTACAGGCATCGGACGACCACCTTCTTGCAAAAATTCGTGAAAAAATTACACTGACTAGTCGATCGACCGGATATCTCCGGTCATCTTCTTAGTCGACTGATGGTTTAATAAATTTTAAAACACTTTGCTAGAATGCACAATATCAAATAAAATTTTTATTTAAATTTTTACTCAAATTTAATATTTAAAAAAAAAAGTTAAACGTTAGAAATATCTTAAAAGTATTAGAGACCTCAAAAATTTTATCAAAATTTTTACTAAATATCTCACATAAATATAGAACTATACAATATAAATCTCAAATAAATCTTACATCTATATAATGGGTGTTTGGGAAGTGAGTTTTTTTATAAGTTTTTTTAGTTGTAAGATATTATTGGAGAATTTTTTTTTTTTGTGTTTGGGAAGATAGTTGGATTTTTTTGTGATTGGATGTGATATTTGTGAGAGAAAAAGTAAAATGATTATGGGGTTTGATGTGATATTTTATTTGAATTTGTTTATTTTGGTTTTGTAAAATATTTGTCTTGTAGTGAAAAAAACCAAAAAAACAAAAAAACAAAAATTAAGTTGCCAAACACCCCTATAAAATATTTAATAAAAGTTTTAGGTTGTGTTTGGTAGAGTTTTGTAAATATGATTTGAGAATATGAGTTATATATTGAGTTTGTGAGTTATGGAATTATGATTTGAGTGTAAAAAATTTGTTTGGTTATAGTTTTTGAATAGAGTGTTGAATTGAGTTTTGAATTGAATGTAAAATTGAGTTTTGAAAGTTTGATGTGACATGTGATATAAGAAAATTTGTTTGGTAATGAGTTTTCAAAATAGTTTTCAAAACTTAATTCAACGTATAATTGATAATCAAATACACAACTCATAACTCGATATCCGTATTTTTGATCAACAGTCATAACCAAATTATTTTTAAAATACTCAAATAAAAAAAAAATTTCAATTAATTGTTTTTAAGTAATTTTTTTGAATAATTTTTTTTTCAAATATTTTTTTTTTCAAATAACTTCTATGCCAATTAATTTTTCTGTTAATTCATTTTTTAGGCCTGTATAAACATTAAAAATATTTAAAAAAAATAAAATATTAAAAATATTTCGTTTTATGAAATTTATTATATATTTATGTAAGTTATATTTTTATAACATGGTAAAACTAAAATTATTAAAATACATATAAATTATTTATTTAAAATTAATATATGTATAATTTAAAATAAATTTTAAAAAATAAGTATATAATTATAATTTAAAAACTACAACCAAATACCACAATCAAATAAATAATAAAATTATGTTTTGACATCTAAGCCAAACAGTATTAAGAATCTAATTTTGCATCTGCTCCTGTGGCACCTAAACAGCGCGGCTCCCATTTTAAATAAACCTAAACCCTCCTTTGTGCGTAAACCTCACGCCTTTTAAGCCGTCTCAAAATCACACTTCTCGGCTTTCAACTTTCACACCACACTATAAAAACTCTTCTCAATCCTCCCAACACTACCCCCTTCGAATCCCTCCTCAATTTTTCAGACCCCAACAGTCTCTCTCCTATGGCGAGCATCGATCCCGAGCACAGAGAAGAGGAAGAAACCACCGCCGCTGACGATGAAGACACAGGAGCACAGGTCGCCCCAATCGTCAAGCTCGAAGAGGTAGCCGTCACCACCGGCGAAGAAGACGAAGAAGCTATACTCGATCTGTACTCTCTCTCTCTCTCATCAATCTTTTTACGATCTGCTTCATTTCTAGGGTTTATGGTTTGATTTATTTATTTATTTATTTCAGGAAATCCAAGCTTTATCGATTCGACAAGGAAGGAAATCAGTGGAAGGAGAGAGGTGCTGGTACAGTGAAACTTTTGAAGCACAAGGGAACTGGAAAAGTTCGGCTCGTTATGCGACAATCCAAAACCCTCAAGATCTGCGCCAACCATCTCGGTGAGTTTTATTTATTTATTTTTTCTTTGATTTCAAAATTTTCAATTGTTTTATGCTTTTGTTTTGGTTTGTGATCTTAAAATTCTCCGATTGCGTGAATCTATCATTCTCCAGTTCTTCCGACGATGTCGGTCCAGGAACACACCGGGAACGAAAAGTCATGCGTTTGGCATGCGGCTGATTTCGCTGATGGCGAATTGAAAGATGAACTCTTTGCCATTAGGTTTGGGTCTGTTGAGAGTAAGTAGCTTCAAATCAATTCCTTGTCTTGTCACTTTAATTTTTCTTAATGTAATGATGTGTAGATTGTTAGCATTTTGTAATGAACTGAATTGCTGGTACCTGTTGGCGAGTTTAAACATCCAACCTAGGTATTGCTTATGGTGTTGTCCCAAGTTTATGAACCGAGATTTGTACTAAATCCTGCTAGTACCCGATGTTCAGTTTCGATCGTTTGGTTTTTCGGTTCCGTCACTTTTCTGTTACTTTTTTTGGTTAAGCTAGCTTTTATTATCAGAGGATAATGGATATACGAGGAAGCTCAAATAAATTCCATTACGGCACGTCAGCACCGAACAAAACGCAACTACGGGTTGGTTTAGCATAAACTAAATAATACAAAAAGTCAAAAAGTCACTATCCTATTTAAGTCACATCATCTTATTTAAATCACATCACCTCTCTAACATATCACATCAAACCCAATCCATATAAGTCAATAAATCAAAAAGTGCATTTTTTTAAAACATCCCAAACCAACCCTAAGTAACCAACTACCTACTCAGTCTTCAACTTAAAAGCCTTGTAGTTGGCTAGGTCTAAGTTTTTTGCCTTGCAAGTTAGAGGTTTTGAATATTCCATTCAAGCTTCATTCGATTTTCATCACTCGATGATGGAGTGCTACTCTTAAACTTCATTTATCAATATATTAGTTTCCTCATCCACTTTAGCTTCGTCAATCCCTTTAGCCAAAACAACACTTAATATGCTAGGGTCAGTATGAAGATGAATTAACTTTCTCTCTATTCAATTCCATTGTAATATTCAATTCACTACTCATGGGTGCACCATTTGCTTTCCCACCTTTCCCCTTCTCGATTCAATATTACCAAAATAATTGGAAGTTGATGCCTCGTTTTTTAGATCTTGCACAATGGATTAACCTTTGTGCAGGATCCCACTACATTGAAGGTTCTGTTTCACTTAAAGGTGGAAACACTTATGCAGTTGTCAGATGCAGAACTAGCACTGTTCAAATATTCGCCCAATCTAATGAATCTAACTGGCCCCACCTAGCCCCAACACAAATGGACGATTTCGACAATTTATATGATCAGCTATTGGTAGATAGGTGCTTTGTTATTCGGATCGTACGAGTCGATTCAATTCAATAGGTAATCAATTTGAATAGGTTGTGTGAATCACAAATAACTATGAATCGTAGATGAATCGGTGAACCGAATTGGTGATTTGTGAATCGATTCAGTTCGCTAAAATCGATGTTTGACTTTCTTTTTTAATTTTTTATTGTTGAAAAATGATTTACACAATCTTTTTAAAGTCTCTAGGATTACTATATGCCATCGTTAGACTTTCTTTCTCCTTATTTACTCTCAAATATTCAAACCTTAGCCAAAAAAAAATATGAACGCTCTCTCTCTACAATATTCTAAGCTTACATATTTAATTTTATCTAAGTATTTGCATTTACAAAATGAATTTTTTTGAAGGTATAAAGTGAGATTTTTGAAAAAGTTTGAAAATTTTGATTTTTTAACCTTCTAAAAAGTTAAAAATATTGTTGTTGAGTTATTGTTACTTGGAAATTGAAAGTTTATCTTTGTTTGCTTTCTTTATTGAGAACAATTGATAAGAAATAATATCTAAAAGGGAAAATGTGAAGTGGTAACATGGAAACTAGTGTTAACTTCTTATCCAGACCACATGATCATCATTTAAAACAATATTTTTATTAATTTAAGTTTAAATATTTCATATGTATTAGATATATTTAATATCTAAGTGTGTAGATATATTTTCTATGTAATTAAAAAAAAGGTGACAGAATCTTTATGATTCACGATTCGATTCGCAATTTGGTACAATACCATTTCGATTTATGATTCGAATCCCGATTTGACAACTATGGATAGGTGCAATATTCACGGGTTGTTGGTTGAGTAACAAGTCTGATGTAAGAAACCCTGCATAACCCTATATGTATTAAATATATTATTTCACGTCTTACTATTATTGGTGCTCATGGATTACATTTATCTCGAACATAGTGTTTTTCACCAACTCTGATTTTCTCTCTTCTACGCCATTGATTTCTCTCTCTCTCTCTCTCCCTCTCTCTCTCTCTCTCTCTCTTATTCTCTTCCTTTTTTCAAAATCATATGTCAATCCTCCATTAATATTACATTCAGTACTCTCCCTCTCTCTCTCTCTTCATTTTCTATCTTTGTTGTTTAAGAAAATCAGTCTCTTTCATTAATGTCACTCTCTCTTCTATTACAGATTACAAATTATAGTCTCTTCCTTTGTTTAAAAAAAATTGTTAATATTACATTGATTACTCTATCTCTCTCTACTCTTTCTACCCATCTCGTCATTGTTAAGGAATCTCTTCTATTCCTGTCTCTGTCTTTCTAATTTCTCTCTCCCATTAATGTCTCTTCCGTCAATTACAGATTACATTTTATTTCTCTTATGCCTTTTTTGTCTCTCCCCCCCAAAACCCCTTTCACTCTTCACTTTTCTCCCAAAAAACCCCTTTTCCTTTTCAATCACCCCTTCGACTCTTCAATTTGCTCCCCCCACTGAGAACTTTAATGGCGGCAACAGATGGTGTTTGATTTGTCATACTTGTTGTAGAAACTAGAAGAGTAAGCACAAGTATGATCACTCGGCAGTGTCGATCTTTTAGTCCTTACCAACCATTGACGCAACACACTAGAAATAGTTGACAACTTTTTAAAGTCAGGATGCCAACTACATTATGATGGTAGTGGAGAAGGTGGCACATTCAATTGTATTTTCTCTTATATATGAAGTCTTGTGGATAGAACTTGTTTACTAACCTGCAAATATCATCTATTTTTATGTATGCATACCCTTGAGGATTGAAAGTTGAGCTAAGACCAAGCAACTCTGTTGCATTCTTATTAAAATGATAATTTAGCTATTGTAATTGAGAATCAATTGCAGCATAAAAAATAACTATTCAATAATGATGCTCAATTGTAAACTCATCTTGATGATCGCGAGCTCGAAAATGTCTAAGAATATAACGAGCACTCTCATCAATCATTTCACGATTTTTAAATAAGATATTTATTTAATTAAACAAGATGGATGACCTTTAAAATATTTTTAGATTTATATTGCAAAGCTTGACAGAAATAATCAAATAATCTTTGAGTTTTTTTATAAGATATAAGATGAAGACATTTAAATGAAGTCAATGATTCATAAGCTACATTGACGACTACTCGATTATAAGGAGTGACTCCATCATCACAAAGAGTAAGGCTTGGTTTGGCATGTTTGAAAAAAGTCAAAAAGTCACTATCCTATTTAAGTTACATTACCTCTCTAACACATTACTTCAAATCCAAACCCAAACCCAACCCATATTTCATAAAAAGTTTAAAAGTGCACTTATTTAGATAATCCCAAACAACCCCTAATTCCATCACCACTTATGAAAGGAATTATGCAGAGTATTGATATTCTTTGTCAAGCTTTGCAATGTAAATGTCAAGTCATTTTAACTGCAACCCGTCTTGTTTCATCAACTAAAGATCATATTAAAAAATTGAGAGATGATAGATGTGATGCTTTATTTATTATGATAAAATTAGTGCAGCACGAAACATGTCTCATGACGACAATGAGATTGAGCTCATCATTCTCAAGATGAATTTACATTTGTGCATTATTATTGAATAAATATTTGTATGTTGCAATTTATTCTCAATTATAGGAGCTAAATTGTCGTTTTAGTAAGAATGCAATGAAGTCATGTACTCTTTTAAAATAAATGATATTTACTAGTTAGTAGACAAGCCTTTTCACAAGACTTCACAAATCAAGAGAACATATAGTTGAAGACGTAACTTCTCCACTACCAACATAATGTAGTTAGACATTTGTGTTGTACATTACACGGGCTCGTCATTTTCCAGCCAATACCCGTGTCGACACGACACCAACACGGGTGTGGAATCTGGCTAGGATACGGCACTTTGCAAAAGGATATGACAGATCAAGGAAGACGAACCAGTGATTGGGTAGATCAACGAAGAAAAACAGAGATTGGGGAAGATTCAGGCACGATAGATGCCGATTCACGTTGGTCGTAGCCTTTCAATCACCGAGGAGAGAGAGAGAGAGAGAGAGAGAGGACTTCTCTAGTCAAAATCTTATCTCTTCTTACGTGGCAGATTCTTCTCTTATCTTCTTTTTCTTTTTCTTTTTCCTTTTACTTTTGATTTAGCTTTTGTTTTAATCAACAACTAAAGAATAGTCATAATGGGCCAGCCCACACTTTTAGAAGAATGATAACAGGCCTGCCCAAACTTATCACTGTTTGGGCCACAATACTTTATAGTTACAATATTAGGATTAGACCTTTGCTAATTTTTTTCAATACTTTTTGCCATATTCACATGCCTGTATCTAATTTTTGGGTACATTTTAGCCGAGTTCACGTATCCTTTATTTAGAGATTTGATATGTCAGACCCTTACATACGTACACACCCGTACCCAAGTCCATGTAACATAGTTTGTGTCAACTATTTCTGATTTGTGTCAATGATTGGTAAGGAGTAGAAGATTAACAATCTACCTCCTTGTTTACCGAGTGATTGTACTTGTACTTACTCTTCTAGTTTCTATCGCAACTGTGTAATAATGATAATTTTCAACAAAACTAAGGTTCACAATAAAATGGATGATGATTATCTCTCAAACTTTGTGGTTTTGTAGAATGAAAGGGAATTTGCTACAAAATTTAGTTCTAAATTAATCTTTGGATGATTTTTGTGATTTGAGCATTGAGTTCAAGTTGGATAGATGGTTGAGTTGAAAAGTGAAGTTAAACTGTTTTTGTTCATAATTGTTAAGGTTGAATGCTTTTCATTTTGCATGAAGAAGCTTGGTCTATATTTTAATATTTTTCTGGTTTAATCCAAGTGAGTGCACTTGTGACTTGCAAATAAAAGAGAACTAAATAAAGATAGATATGTGTTATCCTTTTTTTTTTAAATTCTACTCGAGCTTTGTCTAGTTATTGGTACATAGCAGTTATGACGCATATTTCTATGATTAGCCACATCCTGCTAATTGCCCATGTCTTACCTTATTCGTGCCACTTCATGCGTCCATGTGTTTCTGATGTGCTTTTTACTTCAAGAACCTACATTTCCCTCATACCACATTCAAATCATACCTCATGTGGGCTCTACTTACTTGTCTCGCTCTTCACGTTTGGGTTATTAATCTACAAAATCCTCCCCATACACGTCTCCACCTAAAGATAGTGAAATATAAAGATAATACAAACAAGAGCCAACCTACCGAAACCTCATCTAATGTGACAACCTTTACATTGAGGTATTGATTGGAAATGCTATTTGATTTTGATTACCAACACCACCACCAAACACCAAACAACCCCCCCCCCCCCCCCCCCCCCCCCCCCCGGGGGTTGCTTGGTTAGATCACCTTGGGGAGGCCAAATTTTCACTATGGAAGGAAATTGCCATTTTTTATGCCATTATGCTTAGTAGAATCCCTGTCCTCTACTCTGCAGCCTTTCAAGCCTGGCGTTTGCCTTCATTGTGAGGAGGTCAACACCTTTAACTTCCTACAAAAGCATATCTAACGAGTAACCTAAAAGATGGATCTCCAATAGTCTACCTTCATGTCTGCTTCTTGTGGTTCAGGCCATGAATCCGAGGCTAAACACATCTTTGTCTTGATCTACTGCCAAAAAAAAAAAAAAAGCACAGGATCATCTTATGTGTCTTCCACAAAAATCACCAAGGACTTCACTGTGCTAGCCAAAGTCCAAAGTCCTAGTTGTAGGTTGAAAGCTGTTCTGGGCTCACTTGTATGAAGAGTCATGGAGCTTGTCTCCTCTCATTTTTCAGTGGCTTTGGTCCTTTTTTGATGCTCTAGTTTTGGCTCTGCTCCCAAACTTTTGTGTAGACCTTCCTTCTTAGGCCAAACACTCTTTGTTCGACCTTTGGTTCCTTGATGTTGAACCCAAGAAGTATTCATTTGACCAGTGTTTTACCTTCTCATATAAGGTGTTGAACATCTGTTCTCTCTGTGGTTGGTTTCTTTTCAAAAGCTCTTTGAATCCTTGGCTCAAGCATTCTCCTAACCAGAAACACGTTGAGCTGTGAGCATTATATACTCTGGGTCAATTAATCATTTCCTATGATCTCTTGTACGCCCTCAGCTACTTCCCCAATAATAGATAGTGTGGGGTTGAGTACTAAAATGTTGATTAATTTGCCAGCTAGTTTAGCCTTACTCAGCTTGTTCCCCTTTCACCATATACTTGTGAGAATGAGATATTCACTAAATATCTTGTCAATCTCTGCATTGTAGGTTGTAGCTATTTGGTTCCTAAACTTTGATGCTACTTTTTAGTCCGTCAAATTTTATGATGCTCCAAATTCTACTATTGGGTTTGCACTTGGTGACCACTCAGATCCTTGCCAAGTCACAGAGTTTGTTGACCATGTTTTGACTTGCATATCCCTTGATTGACCTTGCTCCAAACAAAGAAGTTCAAGCGTCCAATCAAAGAAGATTGCAACTTCGAACATTTAAGCTTTTGCAACCTATAAGTTAGAAGAAAGACATGTTTGATTACTCTTCCATTTTCGAGAACAACTTTAAATGTAAGTGAAACTCGAATGACCCTGAAGCAATGTCATGCTTGCTACCCATTTTTTGGTCTCAAAGTTTTTTAGGGAGAAAATTTACTCACTTTAGGCTAGGTTTGATTAGGATGAAAGTGGTGGAAAGAGAGGGAAACAGAAAAAAAAGAGAAAATTCTGAGTTTGTTTAGCATGGAAGTGATGGAAATTATAAGAAAGTTAATTTTCCTTACAAACAGATATTAGCATGGCAACTAAGTTTTTAATTTCTTATAAAAAACACATGAAAATATAAAATTTTAAAATTTGTCCATACAAGGGTTACATATGACTAAAATTTTAAATCTCTCTATTTTTCTTGCAAAATTTTCATCCTAGTCAAATGTTTGCAAGAAAGTATATTTTCCTTTTGGTTTCTTTTCTTTCACTGTATTTTCTACCAATTTCACTTTCCATAATTTTTTCTTCTTAATCAGACACAGCCTTATGGTGCGTTAACAACTAATAGAATCTTCTTCAGTTTTGGATAACCTTCATGTTTAAATTATGCTTGTTGCATGAGACCATATCCATTATTGTCAAATCACAAATCAAATGGTGAATCGTTTTGCGAAAACAGTGAATTGTATCGAATAGTGAATCATAAGATTTACTTTGTTTAAAATAATAAATATAGAAATTTATATTATTTTGAAAACACATCAATTTTTTCTGTGGGATCCCACTAAGAAAAGATGACAGCTTTCATGTGGGGTCATCATTTTGAAAACACCAATTTTTTTCTGTAGGACAGTGCATGTTTCTTCTAGTATGCAATTTGGTAAGCGAAGTCTGCAGGACGTATTGTTAAGAACAGCAAACTATCAATAGCTTTTTACCCTAACAACAGGCAAACTATATGCGTCAACCACCATTATACTGGTCTCTTGTTCACATGAAAGTAAATTTAACTCATTGATCATTTTACTATGGGCAGATTGTATCAAATGGGCAAATATAGGTTTGATCAAGATTTGTTTTTCTGGAGCACCAAAGCCAAGCTTGATATCATTATTGAATGCAGGGAGATATAATGAACTTAAACCATCATTTTATTTTGGGATTGCTTAAGATGTATGCTAGTACTAATTATTTTAGATGCATGATGACTTGGACGGTTTCAGTCTTTAGCTTCTTTGGATGTTTGGTACTAGAGATTTTGTGATATTCTGTCATGAAAATCAGAACAATACCTTATGGTCATGCTCATTGTGTCATTTTCTATGACTGTTGGTAGAGGTCAGCAGCAGATAAGCGGTTCTAAATAACAAAACTGAATGTATTTTGCAGTGTTTTTATCATAACAATTGAAACACCATGCACTTCTTTTTTATTTTTTGTTTTTTCGGCCAACATAAGCTGTTAACCTTCCCAAGGCTTAGAGGTGCATCCAAGTTATTAATTTATTTATTTGCTCAAGTTACTTGTGGAATATGGTAGTCATCATTCTGTATTAGAAAAAAAAAAAAAGAAAAAAGAAAAAGAAAAAGAAAAAAGAACCCAGGGAAGGCATCCTGGTTCATTCTATTACCAGTGAGTTTTTGTGCAGTACCCAGCATTAGCATATCTTAGATGTTCCTACTTGCAGTCTTATTTGCTTTCTAGGATGTATTGAGCATCATTCTCTTGGGCCATTTTAGTTTAATGTGTGCCTTTTTCTTTCCCATAGATTGCAAAACATTCATGGAAATGTTTCAAGAGGTAGCTGAATCTCAACAAAAGAAAGAGGAAAACAAAGATGCATCTGCTGCTGCTGCCAGGCTACTTGAGAAACTAAGTGTTGAAGATGAGAGAGGAGCAGAAGACAAAGCCAGTGAAGAGGTGTCTGTCGCCACCAAGGAGGAATCTGAAAGTGAGGCTGGGAAAACAGATGCAGATAAGTAGGGCGAGGAGCCTGTTTCCTCAACTTAAAGAGGGACGCGTTTGTTTCAACACCATACATATATCAGTATTCCCCTCAATCTGGCGAGGTCAATTGTCTGATCTTGTGTACCGCCTCAGTTATATTCAACATGGTTTTAAATGCATTGGTTTGTGCTTTTATGGGTGGGAACGGTGTGTGGATTTGTCAGTCGATTTGTCAGTCTTGGTCAAAATCTGGGTCCTGTTTGCATGTGGTGATTGTGTTTTGCTGATTCAAGGTTTTTCCCCCCCTCAATATTTTGCTTATTTTTACATGGTGCACGTTGCTTGTCAAGTCATTGCTTATGAGGGTGTTTCCTGCATCAAACACTAGATTGGTTATTAAAGGAGTATTTCTTGGGATATATAACTTTTGATTTGTTTCATTTTTTTATTTGTTTCAACAGTGACTGTAACTTATCTAGCAAGCAGGTCATCTTTCTCAAGTCGACCCACCCGCATGTAACACAGGTAACTATCGTCAGTTGCAGTTGCAGTCGAATTATTGAGCCAAGCGCATATGTAATATTTTATCCCTTCCTGTTTTGATTATTTTTATGAAACTGGTTTGGAAGTCGACAACAGGGAGCTTGTATTTGCATCGGGGAAGAGGGGGGCAGAGGTGATCCTTTTGAATTTTAGGGACCAATGGGGCAATTTTGGTATTGATGTGTATGTATTAAGGAAATTTAAAAAAAAAAATTAATTTGTGTAGTGGGTGTACCAAGGATACAAGTGTGCATGCTGCAAGCACATCGAATGAAGGCCATGACGTGGCATTTGCGAAGTAGAGAATTACATGTTGAACAAGAGGAATAATTTCTTGTGACTTGATAAAAAAAAATTCCCGACTGGTGAAATATGAGTAATGTTAGCATGAAAAATGTATACAAAATTTTCATAGCAAATGGTGTGGTTTAATGAGGATCTTAAACATTAAAATTGAATATTTTAAATAAGGGTAAATTACATATACACCCCTCGAGATTTGGCTAAATTATAGATACCCCTGAGGTTTCGGAAATTACATCCCGTCCCCTGAGGTTTGTATTTTCATAACAATTTGTCCCCTGAGGTTTATATTTCATAACAAATTACCCCTTAATTTCTTATGCAAATATAGCATTCAGGGGGGAATTTGTAATTTCTCAAACCTCAGGGGGCATCTGTAATTTAGCTAAACCTCGAGGGGTGTATATGTAATTTGCCCTTTAAATAAATTTTATGTGGATAGAATTTTCTTATAATTACACCGGTATAGTGCTTGGTGATGGTTATTGTGATTGGTGAATGACATAGGTCATGTTTGGTAGAACTGTAAAAAAGTGATTATAGATTATAACTTAATCGATTATAGTTTATAGCCGTAAACATAAGCTGTTAATCTGTTTGGTGCAGCTGTAAAATTATGGATTTAAGCAACATAGTAGTGTTTGGTTAATAAGTTATAAAATAATTTTTTGTTATGTAATTATCTTTTTTCCCCTTATATGATATAAAAATGATTATTTGTCATTTTTTTCAATTTTAATTTTAAAAAAGTTATTTTATTAATAAAAGTTAATATAATTAGTATTACAAAAATTATTATTTTCATTAATAGTATCAATTTAGTATAAAATTATTTCATTATTTCATTATAAATTAATTAGTGTCAATTAATGATTTAATTAGCATCAATATTTTTTTTTTCTTCTTTTTCTTCATTTTTTTTTCTTTTTCTCCTTATCATTACAATTAATATTACAATTAATATCCATGTATCCATGTATTTATTTTCATTAATATATTATATCCATTTTTACAATTAATATGATATTACAATTAATATCCATTTTCATTAATTCATTACAATTAATATACTTTTTAACTTTTTGAGTAACTTTTTGACTTTTTGACTTTTTGGGGTATTCCCAAACTTGGCCTTAATATCCATGTATCCTTGTATTTATTTTCATTAATATATTATATCCATTTTTACAATTAATATGATATTACAACTAATATCCATTTTCATTTATTCATTACAATTAATATCAATTAATATCCATGTATTTATATTATTGTTATTTTTTTCATTACAATTAATAATATAACTATTGTATTTCTTTTTAATATCCATGCATTATTGTTATTTATAAGATGTAAATTGTAAAATTGCACAATTTATTTCAATATTAATTGAAATAATTCTTTTTTAAATTAAATGAAGTTAATTGAAATAAATTGTTTTTTTTTCCTTTTATTTCATTTTACAATTTTGCAAACCCTAGATCTGAGGAGCCAGAGCCGCCGCCGGTGGTTTACAAAAAGCCCACATCCAGAAACCCTCGATCGTCGTCGTCGTCGTCGTCATCATCGTCGTCGTCATCACCATTTTTAGATCGTGATGTTGTTTCAGATCATGACACAGAGAGAGAAGCAGAAATGGGTTGCTGTGACACGACAGCGATGGCGACAAAGCAGAAATGGGTTGCTGCGACGCAGCGGCGATGGTCCGCAACGGCGAGGCGATGTCTTGAGATGCAACGAGAAGGGGAGAGTAGCGAGAAGAGAAGATCTAGGTTTGTGTTGCATTCTGGAGTTGAAGGAGGCGACATAGACACAGAGGCGACATAGACACAGTGACGACAAACGGCGATCAGGGTGGGGGTGAGGTAGAGAAAGGGGCTGCGGTTCAGATTGTGAAGAGGGAGAGTGAAGGTTAGGGTTTGGTTCTAGAAACAACATGACGATCATCGTAAAGAGGGAGGGTGGGGGTTGCTGTTCAGATTGTGAAGAGGGAGAGTGAGATCATTGTGATGTGCCATCGGAAATCGCACCCCCCCTCTCTTTTTGTGTGAAGAAGTGAACAGTGTTTGGTTATAGATTTATATATTTGGTTTTTTGGTAATATTTGAAGTATATGAGGGGCATTTAAGTCATTAGGTCCCTCAAAATTCAGCTGTCCGTTTAAGTTGTTTTTATAAGCATCCCTCACCCAACTTAGAGATTTAAACTGAAAATCACTTAAAAAAAAGCTATAATCCGTCTCTGAAAAGTTATACCAAATATTCTAAAATCACTTATTTTAAGCTATAAGTGGATTTAAGCTGAAAATAAGTTTTACTAAACAGGCACATAGTCACACTGAATAATTTTTCCCAAGCAGAATGGTTTAAGGGACCAGGGCAACCTATGGCTAAATCCACACCTTTTTTTCTGTTATTAAATAAAATTTTCAATTTCAATGCACTTGAATTGTCTCGAAATTCATGTCTTAAGTTTTTTTTTGCTTAATTCAATAATTGAAAATTTGACTGGCCAAACCATATATCCAATGATATATATAGTGAAAAGAAGTCCGTGCAGTGGTAGTTTTTCGATTTAAAAAAAAAAATTGTTATTATATTTATTATTAAAAAGATATTTTATATATATATATATATATTCAGAATAAATAAGTTGTCTTTCTTTTTTAATATTAAAATGATTTGAACATTTTAAACCACATTATTCATAAATCTAATATTTATAATATAATTGCAATGATTTGTAACTTTTCCTCTTAGAGGTGTATATCATAAATTCATTGTTTATAATTTTTGGAATCACAAATCGCAAACATTTGTAACTATTGTCATAAAAAATTATTACCTTCTCATGATAAGATAGACAACATAAACTTTTCATTAATTTTAAAGTAGGATTTGATCAACCAGAATGAAAATAAAATGAAGGGTGAATTGCATTAACAGTTCTTATAATTTGGGAGTTGTGTCACTTTAGTCATGACTTTTTAATTGTGAATATATTTGATCTTAAATTTTAAATTTCGTTCAAAATAAGGATAATCAAAGATATTATTTTCTTTACAAACTGAAAATTCTTCATTTTAAGGACAAAGTCATCATGCAACTTATTTTGTATTGGTTAACTTATATGTTGTTTGAAATACAATTACCTTTTTCTAATGAATAATGCTGGTATTTCTTAGTTATAAAGTTCTGTTTGATTTGATTTTCAGAATCTATTTTCAGAATTTTTTTCTAAGGAACTAAAAATTAAATTGGTGGGTGGGCAAAAAATTAAAAACAATTATTATTTTTATATAATTTTATCTTTTGGGAGAATAGAAATATTTTTTTAATATTTATTTTCGTTAAATTAGTTTTTATTTTTTCAAAAACAAAATTCTGAAAATAGTCTTAAAAACTCAAGTTAAGCATGGTGATAACTTTGATGTCATTATTAAACTAATCCATAGATAAAAAAATCCAAAACACCTACTAAAAATTAATTTGGTAAAAAATAAAAAACTATAAAAATATTTATCATTTTTATATAATTTTATTTTTTAGAAATAAATTTTAAAAATTCAAAAATATATTTTTGATATTTATTTTTGTCAAACTAATTTTTATTTTATCAAATTGATAACCTTGCCCTTGAAATGAAGCATTTTTTGTTTGAAAATGATGCGTCTTCAATCGTCGTTATTTAGAATGAGATTCAAAATTTAAGGTCAAATGTATTACAATTGAAAATTCATGGACTAAACTGACAAAAGTTCCAAACTGTAAGGACTGTTAGTATTATTCGTCCTAAAAATGAATTAATTATTCATAAATAGGATCAATAGTGATAAATAGAAGGAAAATTTATTCATAAATTTTATATGGGAGAATGTTGATCTATTTAGTCCGAATTTTTTTTTAATGAACCAATTAGTTCTTCTTGTTTTGGAAAAGAATATTTATTTGATTTGATGCCATTTGAGTTTAACCGAATGTCTTTTTGTGATTCATTTTTTCATTTTTTCAATTTTCTGATTTGTTTTTGGAATGAGAACGGAAATATGAGGTGTGAAAGATTCTCTTTTGGGGGGATTGATGGCTGAAGTGTTAGTTGTCAAACGTGAAAATCTAAATTTATGTTAGTGTGATTTTCTAATATTACATTAGAGTGTTACATTAGAATGTTGTGTTTCGAAAAAGTACACTAAGAAATTTTTACATGTTATATTGATTGAAGTGTTACATTTAAGAAAAATATACTAAGGAGTTTTTTTTTGAATGTTACTGAGAGGGAGTTTGTAAGTGCATTAGGGCCGAGCTAGGCCCAGGCGTAGCAATAGGCCGTTCTATGGGCCGTGGTGAAAAGGGCTTGGCAAAGTAGACCTTTCTGTTAGCTTGGTCAAAGTATGGTAACAGTCACCACGGTTAGAGTGGTGATAATTAGCTCAGTCATAGTAGTCGGAGCCGAGGTGGTTGGGCCTCTTAAGGTGGACCTTGCCCTTTGTTAGCTTGGTCAAATCTTGCTGCAGTTAGCTCGGTCTAAACAGGCAAAACCGAGGTATAAGTAACAAGAGCCGAGCTATGTGTTGCATATGAAGGCACTGGATTAAGTATGA